CCCCAAAACCCCAAAACCCCAAAACCCCAAAACCCCAAATATTAGCACTAATATTGAACTCAGAGATTTGACTGTACACTTAAACCCCAATGTGATAATTAGTGAAAATACTGCCTGGAACTACCCAATTTTATGGATGAATCACTAATAATATCTGGATGTCTCTTCAAACGGCATATTATGAGTAATCTCAACCTTCAAGTTTTTGCCAAAGATACGAGCAAGCTGCTTCTTAAAATCAACATCAGTCCTTCTGAGTAGCTGTCTCTTTCTATTCATTATGATTGTGACGCTTCTGAGAGATTTTACGCCTAAAATTGCTGATCTTAGTGCTCTCTTTTCTTTAAGTGTAATTTTTGAAAGTTCACCTTCTCGAATGTCGAAAGAGATATCTGTAACTTTAAAAGCAAGCAGCTCGATCAACTTTAAGTGAGTGAAGTTCAAATCATAGACCTGGAGAAATAAGAATTCAGTTCTGACTTTTTTAAGAGCAGCAATAGTCTTCTTGAAATATACACCTCTTCACAATTGGATCTTCAAATGCTCACATTTAGAGGGCTTGCAATATATCAAAATATCGTTTCCATCAATGAATTCAAAGTCTTTACCTTCAATGAAAAATGGATTTACCCCCTTGTGGAGATAATCTAATCCCTGCTCAATTTTGATTCTATATTCTTCAAAGATCTCCATATTTTCCGAGTCACATCTTTGGACAGATTGAATATGTTGCAGCTCCAGAATAGAGTCATTTGACACTACTGTGAAGCCTTTCAGGGGTTTAAAATCTAGCTCAAAAATCCCGAATTGCTTACAAAGCATTTTCGAAACTTTGAAAGATAGATACGCTTTTAAGGAATAATCATAACACCAGACATTGCAATCCTTCAAGATCACAAATGAAGGGTGTGTATAGAACTCAGAGGTGAGTGAGACTCCCTCCTGGAGCAGGGAGCTTAACTCCTTGCTATAAAATAGAAACTGTCTATAAATGCTGAGCCTAGAGCCTGTTTCCTTGAACTTGGGAAATACTTTAGCCAGCTCTTGGGAAACATTGCCAATTGCTTTTGTATCTAGTAAATCATTTTTGGGAAACCTCTTGATACATACTTGCCTTCAAGATTGCCTTATCGATACAGGGATGATATCTTTGTACTGATCTATAGCAATGTTATTCAGAAGGCTTAATCTGTTACCTGAATCTAGCAGAGTTTCTACCTTGGAGTCGAAGTTAAATTGGTTGATCCCTTTCACTCAATCGTAAGTAACAAATTTAGCTAGATCTTCATGAGAACCTTGGGTGATTGTTGAGAGATCAAGCTCGTGGGTGTACTTCAACAAATCTTTTGCACTATATGGGATAAAATTCTGCAACTTGTTTATCTGAATTCAAGAAGTATCCAATGAGAGCTCCCTCAAAACATCGTAGGGAGAATTCAAAAGGGCTCATGTCATTCCAGCTGTGTGGACATTATCTATTTCAATCCTCTTAAACTTCACAAAACTTCTGTTCTTGAAGCCCTTGATGAACTCTCAGAATTTTCTAATGCAGTCTTCGCTTTGAAGTTGAAGTACATATTCAAAGAGATGAAACTCTGAAATATCTCTAATGTTTTCAAAATAGTCAGTAACTGTGCTATCGAATGATTCATATCATATTAAAGTTCTTCTAGTTCCATCTGCAACTAACCCATAAGCATAAGCCTGACTGTTTTTCTCCCATAGTTCTCTTGTCTGCCTTCATAAACCAAGCAGCAAGCAATTGCATTGGCTAAGACTTCCATAATACTTCAGAATATTAATAGAATGACTAAAATTAAAGAGCAAACTTCTAATATCTCTGCAAATATAGGCATCTATACATAAAATCACTCCTAATCCCCAAACCCCCACCCCCAAAATCCCTTCCTATCCTTCCAAAACTCCCCTCAAAACCCCCTAATCTTCCCTCTCACCTACACATTTCCATTTTTAATACTACAAATCCATTCCCTTAATTTCCCAGGGGTTTTGGGGTTTTGGGGTTTTGGGG